ATTCCAGATTGATGCCAACTTGGGGTGAACAACTCTACACACTTTGCTCACTTGTGGAAAATGGCTGAAGAAAATCCCAAAATACAAGGGGTTGGAAAACAACACTTTTCAAAAAAAAAAAAATTCTTAAAATACTAGAGTTTGAAATAGTTCGCTGGAGTTGAGAGCAAACAAGGGTAGATCGTGGTTGTAGGAAGCGATAAGCTCCAAATCTCGGGTGGTTTGCTGCACATCGCCACGATCAACACAGGTCATTTCCCTAGAACAACGACCTACCCTTAGAAAATTGCAGGAAACTCCCGCGATCTACACCGACTTTAGGTCAAAATTTCAAACGAGAGTAAATTTGAGCTCGATTATCCATTCCAAAAGAATTTCGCTACGGTCGGATAAACCGAGAGTAAAGTTATGATCTTTTGCAGTTTGATCTAGAATAGGAGTAGATCTTGGGGTGATCAGCGATCTAGTATGATTCGCTGGGGTCAGCCGCGAAAAGGAGTATTTTGAGGGCCATTCGCTTGTTTCGACCACGATTATGGCCCTTTGGATGTCGAGCGAACTGGCCGAAATTCTAATATTTTAGAATTTTTTTTTGCAAAGTGTTATATTATGATTTATTTATTCTGCATTCATTCATCCATCATAACCAACCATTTGCAATGTTTCCTGTTTTTTTTGGATGCAGCTTCTCGGCAGTGATAGCAGAGATGCTGGTTCAAGGCACAGGGACTGAACTGTACTTGCTCCCTGCTCTTCCACGGGACAAGTGGCCCAATGGGTGTGCCAAAGGGTTAAGGGCGAGAGGAGGGTTGACGGTCAACCTGTGCTGGAAGCAAGGTCAGCTTCATGAAGTTGGTGTTTGGTCAACGGTAGGCGATTCTGTACAAGTATTGCACTATGGAGAAAAGATGGTGAAGGCGAGTATTGCGTCGTGTAATGTGTACATATTCAATAGTGATTTGACTTGTGTAAGAACTGAATCCCTTTCGGGAGAAGGTGGTTCTTGTTTGAAGAGATTGAAATGGTAGATAATATATGAAGGGATTGGATATTGGGCTAACTATATAGGAGTTTGTATAGTACTTACTAGGAGTTTGAAACGATGATTCGGTCATGTTCGGACCAGACTAAATTTGTGAGAACTATTTTAGGATTCAGAACTGGACCGACATTGCATTCGATCCCTTTGATTCGGTTTGAATGTCACTTTGGTCCATTTTTCTTCCGTAATTATAAAATTCGTCGAACCAAGGACTGTACCATATTATATTCATTTCGGTATGGTCCAGTCTAAGTGTCGGTTTGGTCCGGTGCGGCCCGTTGCGGCCTGGTCCAGATCATCTGGTTTTTCTCATAGTTGTTGTCTTGCACCGGTGGGTGAAGAATAGGTGATTGAACATTATTCACACTTGACCTTGAGTAAGATCCCATTATTTTAGGCCTTGGTGGAACTTGAGGTTGACGTTGTTGATCCGCCATTGGAGGATATTGATGTCTCGCAACTCTTCTTAGATTCCGAAGGGTTCTCTCGAATTTTGTATCAAGAGGTACTATCTCCAAAGAGTTCTTCCTTCGCATACAAGAGTGCTACAAGACACAAACTCAACAACCTGTTTACGTACAAAGTTGGATAACAAAACACAAAACGCTAAAAACTAAAAACTACAAAAATAACAAAAATACAACAAAGAAAATAAAGACTAAACTAACAACTTGATGATTTCTACTAGTTACCGAGGTTCCGTGAAAACGGCGCCAAAAAGCTTGATCGATTCATTCCGTGCAAGTCATTGTCAGTAGTTTGCACGTCTCAATAACTACTCCATCCTAGGCCAAGTTTAACCTAAAATGGCATTGTCATATAGTGGCAATCAAGGTCGTATTCACTCGGGTCCCGGTACCCTAGTCTACTTCCCACATTGTTGTTAACTAGTCGATCGATTTAAGGGGGGTTTGTGTTGGAGGATTCAAGTGAAATACTAATAGCTTGTTTGGATACAATTCAGGAAGAAATGGAAATAGAATTCTATTTCCATTTCCTATTTTTGTAGAATTCCATTTCCAATTTTAGTGTTTGGTATAATTCCTACAACTATATAAATGAATTGCAATTTTAACAATAATTAATAATGTAATATATTTGTTTTATCTTGGAAATGGAATATGAATGATAGAGAAAGAGAGTAGGGTGATATTTGGTTAATAAAATTATAATAAATAATGATGGGACCCACTAATTCCATCTTCATAAGCCCAATTCTTATCACTTTTGATAGGAATTGTAATTCCCAAAACTTAGCCCAAATGGAATTCATTTCTCAACCTTCTTATCCTTCCAAACATAAAATATGGAACTGGAATTGAAAATGAAATTCTTATTCCTGAGTTTTTTTGTCTATCCAAACAGGTTGTAATAAAGAGAATAAACAAGGATAAAAGCATGTACTTCGGGGAACTATCCCTCACCCTAGCCTAGGTCTATCATGCAATGTCTAAATAAGTTGGGTTAAGTGCATGTGGTGAGTGAGCTCTTTTCCGTGGGCCTTCGTGATTCTTCTCCTTCAGGTCGTGATCATCAGCTTCCTGCCCACTTTGCTACACTTGTGGTCCTTTTCATACCTAATTCGCATATATCGTCTAAAGCACCATAAAATCACACCATAGCTTCCTGCCCACTTTGCTACACTTGTGGTCCTTTTCATACCTAATTCGCATATATCGTCTAAAGCACCATAAAATCACATCATAATTGTAACATCCCGAACCTTCACCCGACGAAGATATTGTCCGCTTTGGGCCTCGACCCTCACGGTTTTCGCTTTGGCGTGCAATTCAAGGTGACTTCCCATAAGGTCACCCATCCTTGTTGTGCTCCACACTGAGCACGTTTAACTTCGGAGTTCTCACAAGAACTCCTCCATTACACCCCAAAACGCGTCTTGTCAGTTAAGGTCGGTTTCTTACTTATGAACCATGGATCTCTCCCGTGCTTTGTCGATGTGGGATTTGCCTAAGGTGTTACATACACCCCCCCCCCCTTGGGACTCAACGCCCTCGTTGAGGTTTGCCCCACCATCGTTCAAGAGGGACGCGGAGAGGCTCTGATAGCACTTGTAACATCCCAAACCTTTTCCCGACGAAAATATTGTTCGCTTTGGACCTCGACCCTCATGGTTTTCGCTTTGGGGTGCAATTCAAGGTGACTTCCCATAAGGTCACCCATCCTTGTTGTGCTCCACACTGAGCACGTTTAACTTCGGAGTTCTCACAAGAACTCCTCCATTACACCCCAAAACGCATCTTGTCAGTTAAGGTCGGTTTCTTACTTATGAACCATGGATCTCTCTCGTACTTTGTCGATGTGGGATTTGCCTAAGGTGTTACAATAATCAAATAGGAACGAAATAAGGATGTAGTCGAAGATATTCTTATGATTATGCACATGAATTAGCACGAGACAAACCTAAATATGAATGACAAATAACACCAATTTTGGTGTTATCAACTTCCAACCTCTTAATTTCATTGATCATCCTTACGAATTGAGGTATATGAGTTAAACGAACTACTCTGGCGATGGCAGAGATATAAAATTGCTCTTGCTCAAACAATAAGGGTCTAATGCTCTAGCAAATAGAGAGCTTGCTACATAAGAAAATCACAAAAAAGTGATGCTCTGTAGAAAATCTAACAAGAATAGAAAGAAAGTGATGGTATGTGTTCTAATAAGGTATGTCAAATGATGGTAGAAGCATTATTAAGCTCAAATCGTTTATCAAAAGCTTTTCCCTATGTGTTTTGAGACTCTAATGCATGATTAGTTGTTTATGCTTGGATTGGATTGCATAAGGATCTTGCATACTAACATGGTTAGAATTATCTCGTGCTATTGTTGACCTTGTAAAGTTCACTTATGACCCACTACCTAAGATCGAGGTAGGGTGATGTTCCTTGGTTTTCATTAGTTGTATGATTGTGAGTAGTGTTTGCTTGGGGACAAGCAAAGTTCAAATGTGGGGTATTTCTCATGACGCTCAATTGATAGTGTTTATCACTTTCATATTTGATACATTTTCCCTTCTATCAATGCCTCTTTAATGTTTTTTTTATATTTTATATGAATATTGTAAATATTTGATTTATGAGTTTAAAATAGGCTTTGAGTGTGTTTTTGTACTATTTTACGAATTTTGATGTTATCTTGTGCTTTTCATGGATACATTAAAGACGAACATGGATTACCAAGAGACTCAATAGATACACTAAACCCCCACAATACTCACCCTATTTTTGTAAATAAAAAATAGGGTAAATACAATATATTAGCCACAACTATTATGAAGCGGGGAATTATAGTCACAACTATGAAAATTCAAATTATTAGCCATAACTATTGTTGCAGGTCAAGATATGGCTAACTGTCCGTTACTGTTATTGAATTTTTGACAGAGAAAGAAGGCCACGTCATCGGTCTCGGCAGCGGCCACGTCGGAATGCTTTTAATTTATAATTTTGAGACATAAAAGTTTAGTGAGTATTACTAACGAAATTGTTAACAGATAGTTAACGTTTGGCTAATAATTTGAATTTCCATAGTTGTGGCTATAATTCCCCACTTCATAATAGGTGTGGCTTGTTGATATGACTTGAATCGGATTATCAGCCGCTACGACTGGTAATCGGGGGTCTCGCTTGATATAGTGAAATCGGCTCTCTCTCGCCCGTGGAGAAGTACTATAAATACTTCTCATACTCTTCTGTAATCTGTAATCTCCTTGATATAGTGAAATCGGCTCTCTCTCGCCCGTGGACGTAGCTAACACACATCGTGTTAGTGAACCACGTAAATCGTGTGTCGTGTTTTCGATTCTCGCTTTCGTATTCTTGCTTTGTCGATTCCGATGATTTCCCGATCCGTAGCAGCGCGTTTATAACATGGCTAATATATTGTATTTACCTTTAAAAATAAATAAAAGAAAGGAGTCAGCTGATCGGACGGTCTTCATCGTCAAGACCATCTTACTATTTTCTTTCCAACGTTGGGCATTAGCATTAGCCATCTTAAACCCTAAATCCAAAAAACCCCTATTTCGGCCACTGTTACCGACTCTTCGCAGCCATCGCCTCCAGTGCTCTGTCGATAGCTGTCCGCAACACAAACCATCATGGCTTGGCGCAGCGGAACTTCTTCCTTCTCGCGCTCCTTGATGTCTGCCGCCAGGGCGCCATCTGTGCGTTCCTCTTCAGCTCCGCTTCCCCGCCTCCGCCCGTCGACCGCCTCCGCTCCCCGCGTTCAGTCGCGCCGGGTCTCCTTCTCTCCATCCAGGTATCCTGCTCACACTTGTCAATAGAGATCTGCTTGATAGTGTTGAATTGAAATTCCGGCCGTCTCGTCTATTTAATTTGTATAATAATATGGAGTCCTTTCTGTTGAAGAAGCGGGGGGTTATTTGGATCCAATTTATGTATAGTCACTTGATCATTTCAGTGGAAGAACCAGGAAGCTAGCTTAGTATGGTTTTATCAATTCAGATTTAGGGTAGTTGTTTGGCATTTCGAAAGAGCAAAGGAAGGTGCTCTTTCAATGAAGCTCGATTGGCATTTGGCCGATGGTTGGACGTGGAGCATGGTTGATCTTAATCTTGTTTATGGAATAATCACGAGCATGTAAAACGAGGTGACAATAGGCTGTGTCAAAGCAAGCTGTGAGACATGCATAACCGCTGAATGCTTTCACTTTTTTTTTTGTTGGGGTTTCAGGTTTCTCAGTACGTTAGTCTCTGTTTCTTTTATGCCGACCACTTGAAATTGTTGTCTTGCAGGAACTTGGGAGAGTTGGGATGTGTCCAGTCTTTCTTGCCACTGTACAGCATGGTTGCCAAGACCCACCTTGCTTCTCATCTCAATGCTAATTTGCGGGCTTTCTGCGAGCTGTCTCATGGTACCGTCTGCCGTTCTTGTCAGGATCGCTAGTATTTTCTTTGTGAGTTTTACCATTTTTTAGGGCACATGATGACATAAAAAGCTGCATGTCTTCATTTTTTTTTGGTTTGTGCCTCTCATATTTGATAGCAGGACATATGCTTTTTTATGAGCTTCTTATTGTGTCTATGATCTAGGTTTGATGTAAGTTTTTGGTTCATTCGGTTCATATGAATATTGGGATTGGGATTGATAGGGAGGAATGGAAAAGACGGGTGATGCACGTTTCAATCAACCAAAGGCACAGGATTCATGCAATAACTGTAGGTTCTCATTTATTGTTGATATCTTTTGTTCTCAGAAAGGATATAGAAAAATGAATTCTCAACTTGCTTGAGTTAGAAGATGACCTTATGAACACCCTGAAGCATTTTGCAAATGAGAGACATCTACAATCTACCGTCTTCAAACATTCCTAGGCTTCCTTTCACTAAATCAGCCTCTACTTGCTTCTCTACTACTTTTCCTCTGCAAATCCCAGCCTTATTTTCACATGTTTTATGATGCTCTCTTGAGCTGCTTCGCCTTTTAGCTATAGAATGAGCAGTAGTCAGATTGTCGGATGGATTTCCTACGGTGCAGATCTTTCTGATGCACTCTAGGAATGGCAGTGATTTTATTCCTCCTGTCAACATTCCTCAAGTGTTCTAGAAACCATGGAATCTTAATCTAAACTAAAAAGCGTACTTTGGACGAAGTTGACACAGTTGACATTGTCTTGCTCGGTGTTCAGTGTTCCTGTTTATCCACTGAGCATGATATACGAGCTTTTAGTTGCATGTTTCACAGTAAGTAATTTGTATTTGCCTAGAAAACCCTGTTTCCTGTGTCGACGCTCTGTGTAAACAATGTCATCAATCACATCCATCACTGCTCCTACAATCTGATTCGTGGAACTCCCACTGACCTCTCTATAATTTGTCTGTTCCACAGGTACTTGAATGGCCATTGGTTCCGCACAACAATTTAATGGAGTCAGAAATCAGAGAAGGTGGGATGATGTTCTTGTGGGGGAACTTGGGCTGTTTCTGTACGGTCTCGAGCATGGATTCTGTCAATAAAGATGTCTTTTTTTTCTTATGCTACTTGCTAGATAAACCATTACAACAACTCCAAGCTTGCATGACAAGTTAGCATACAATATTTTTTAGGTCGTCTGTCATTGTACAATTGGACAAGTTATTTGTATCGTAAACTGTTTTAGATTATGGCATTGATTTTTGTCGCCGACTCGCTGAAGCCTGCAGGCAAAGTGTGCTTCTGTATGTAGCATGGCGGAGTGTGCTTATGTGCTTGCAGGGAAACGGTACGGTACATTTTCATGGACCATGGTGAGTGGGGAGCAGAAGTGATTGAAAAGGCTAGGCGAATGTTCGCCATTGCTGCCCATTTTGGGGAAGAACAGTTTCGTTGGTACTTCCAGGTGATGGGAAAGGTGAAACTGCATATATCACTGTCTGCTTGATAATGCAGTCCCCGAAATTAGCACTCGATATATCCAGCCTTCCTGCGGCCGTGCCGACGGGAAGAAATGTTTGGTTTTGGTCGAAAATCGACAAGAAGAGATGGATGATAGAAATTCGGATCGAATTCCCATTGACATGAGGTTTTGTCTCCATCCGCCTCTGCTGTGGGTAGAGAGGTGTCAACAGAATTCGATTAGAGTAATTCGTCCGATCAATCTGGTTCATAATTTAGTTAAAATACTAATATTTTGAAATGTTGACCTTCATGTGTTTCTTCCAAGTGAGTATCATATTGCCAAGTCAATATTACTAACACAATTTCTAACTGAAAGTTAACATTTGACTAATTCTTATCATTTCGATAGGTTTGGATAATATAAAACTAGATTTACAAGTTATACCAGTGTGATGTGAGGTGGTATTTTTTGGTCATGTATTTTTTTTTTCTTCAGAATTTGTAGATCCTTGATTTTTTATTAGCTTAAGTCATAATTGAAGTAATAGATTATGATGAACCCCATTCTTTCTGTGCAAAAATTTTCAAATTCAACTTAAAAACGAAGATGATACTATAAGTGGTAACAAGTATGACAATTTTTTTCTCGAAATATATTGAAAATGAATCTTATTTTATAGATCTGAATTATTTGGAACAATTCCCAGAATACAGTAAAAATTATACATAATTCCCAGAATACATAAGTTTTATAAAATTTTCCCAAACTACCCAAGTTTCAAAGAGTTCGAGTTTATGAGACTCGAACAACTAAGTAGATCGACGATGACAAACTCGAACAACATAGATCGATGACAAACGACTCGATCTTAGTAGATCGATGACAATGGACTCGATCCAGTAGATCGAGTATAGACAACTCGATTTAATTAGATCGACGCCTGAAACCTCGATGTAGTGCAACGACTTTAATACACCCGATCTTTATCTGCACTAGATCGAGTCCCTATGACTCGAACTACGTAAATCGATTACAAAAGACTCGAACCACTGGCCCACCGACATGCTTCAGGATAGGGTTGCTGGGATAAGATTCTTTGTTATAGTAGATCGAGGTTTAGGGACTCGAACTATTATAGTTCGATTACACTAAACTCGAACTACTTGCTCAATAATTCTGTCTAGTCGCTTTCGGTCCGACATGTTCCAGAATAGGGTGCAGGGGGGGAAATTATTGGATGCCGTAGATCGAGTTTAATAAACTCGAACTAGTGTAGATCGAGTGTTTTAGACTCGAACCACTGCATCAGTTTACGAGGATAAAAAGCCCTCACTTAGCACATTCTGGCAGCCCTTACTTTCTATCTTCTTTCTTACAAACACAAACTGCAGCAGCTGGAGCACCATAGCTCACCAAAGAAGAAATTTTTTGGAGGTAAGTTCTGCTTACGTTGTTTGAATGAGCATATTAGAATTTTAGATTAATTTAGAATTGTTTGTACTGTATGTAATTGGCCCCAACCATTCAATGGTTTCTGTGAACTTTCAATTATTGCATCACCATCGATTGGAAGCTCTGTCAGCATGGCTACGTCCTTCAACGTAATCGTCATCTCTCCCTCTAGAAGGTGGAATGTGTGTGTTTCTTTTCTCCATCTTTCCACCATTGTCGTAAGAAGGTTGTTGTCCATCTCCATCCCCACAAACTTTCGCACCCTCAGCAATCGCGCTCTTTCAATGAAGGGCTCGATACGATCATCCCATTTAGGCAAGCGAGATAGCGACCGATGGGTGATTACGTCAAGTTGTTCCAGTAGAAAAAAAATATTAATTATTATACATAAAAAAATTAGAAGAATACTATCACATTTAAAAAAAGAAAAGTAAATGAGGAAGTGCTTACCGGATCTGCCGCCCAAACACTTTCAGACCGATGGTAAGGTTGCTCATCCAACAAATCGGTTTCTCGCGGTCCGCCTTGAATGTATAATCTAGGATCGTAAATACTCGGATCCATCTCGGCAATTTTGAGTGATAGAAGTACCAAACTAAAGAAAAAAAATCTGATGCGGAAGATCGGGCTTAGCCGCAACCACAGAGCATATTTTTTTCTTCAAGAGTGGTGGGAGGAATAGGAAGAAGAATGGAGTGGTGTGGGATTTGGTGGAATGGGAGGGGGAATATATAGGTGCAGGTGGTTGATGTGGATCGAGTTTAGAGGACTCGAACCAGTGCCTCGATTTTCCTGCCATCGATCCGCGTCAATTGCAGTTCGAGTGAATGCACATCGAACGACCCAGATTGAGTCTGGCAAACTCGATCTACGGTGGAGCGGTCCTGACGTCATCGATCCGCGTCAATTGGATCGATTCAAGGGAGCTCGATCCACGTGCATCGCTTTTTCCCCACTCGATCCGCGTCGCCACTAAATCGCGGGCTTGGCCATCGAACGGTGTAGTTCGATTCTTCTTACCTCGATCTAGGGTGGAGCGCTGCTTATGTCAGCGATCCATGTCAACCAGTTCGAGTGTAACGTACTCGATCCAGGCAAATCGAGTTTATCACACTCGATCCGCGTCGTCCTGTTCCAGCCAATCGCGACTGTTTCACTCGATGCACATGGATCGATTCTTTTACAATCGATCTATTAACTAGTTCGAGTTTGCCAAACTCGAACCGGTTCAAACTTTGGTATTTTGGGAAATATTTATTAAAGTGATGTATTGTGGGAATTACTTTTAATTTTCACTGTATTTAGGGAAATAATCCGAATTATTTTGGATCCACTCTGAACTAAAGGCTCATATTTAGTTATGCATGGTGGGTTATGCACCCAGCACCCTGATTCCCTAAAGGGCCATACAATTTTGGATAGAGGACCGACATTACCCGAATAGCTCCCACCACCATTTTGCCAAACAATTGGTTTCTTCTATTCTTTCTTCTCGTCTCTTTGTATGTCACAATAGTCAGTTTCAAGGCCATTATTGATCGATTTTCCACATTCAATGATTCAGCTCCTCCTAAAAATCACAGTGGCAGCAGCAAGAGAGAGTACTGGTATCGAATTTGGGCAGCCTGCTGAACTTATTCATGTCCCGAACCATCGAATGACAGTACATTGTGCCTGGCCAAAACTACCAGCCAGGTACCAAAACCCACCTGCTATCTGGCCTGAAAGGATTAAGGTACAAACCAAGTTCTGCATCAATACTTGGCTCCAAGACTTGTAGTTGCCAACCACCACTACTCCCCTAATGTCGTCCTAGTTGTCGCCGCTTGTCATTGGTCTTCGTCGACCACTGTGGCAACGCGTCTATGGTGGGTGGTACTGTCTACAGAAACCAGTAAAAACAAAAAACAAAACCCTATATTTCAACCTTGGCTGAGAAGCCAGCAGTTAGTTAGCAAGTGATATGAAAGGGCGCTTAGACACCTGCACAAAACATCACCACCATTCGAAGATTCTATGTCCACAATATCATGTCTGACTTTTTTTTCTCTTCACCCTGCATCTATCAAACTTGAGAGATACACCCACCTTCAATCTCAAGAATCATAACAGATATGAACTTACTGCTGAAGGAAAGTGAAGGACAGATCAACTTCCATTTCAGACCAGTTTGCGTCATCAGCATTATCTCGTCCACTCACTCTCCTGTCCCTGTTCCGTCATCTCCCTTAGAACTCAAGATCTCATCCATCCAAGGATTCGTATTCTATCTCCAGACAGATATAAAGCAAGCAAGCAAACTCATCATATAATTCTCTCTTTCTCGCCCCGTCAATCATAAAGCTACAACCCCAACTCCAGCAAAGATAGAGAGGGAACGTCGTTGTGCCTTAACAGAATCCTCTAGCCATTTAGTCCCGTCAACCAGAGGGACTCAATCATAAAGACAAACAATGATAATAAATGATTCCTGAAGATAACAAGTGACCTAAGCAGCAGCAGCAATGGAGATAAAGGTGTTGATGACAATAGAACAGATATAAAGGAGGGTAGGATGACACTAATAAAGGATATATGATCAATCATCTTGGCAAAGGAACTCATCTACCTACCTTTTCTTGTGTTTCACTTTCATCTTTCATTTCTTTCCCCCCACTAACAAAAAACTTACTACGTGGCTGGAGATGACATTTCCCAATGTCTCCGGAAGCAAAGTAACTTCCATCCAAACCTAACCATATCAGTAGAGGGGATATTCTGGCATAACCATAGACATGTAAAAGCAATTAAATGAAACAACAGCAAGGACAGGGAGATTGATTCCACCACCCACAGAAGAGTAGCACAAAGTAGTGGAGTGTGTCTGTGACTGTGACTGCTGAAAACCTTAATCATAATCTAGCATTGGATGATTCATTCAGAAGCTAACAGAGTTTGGCAGAGAGAGACAGGCAAGAAAGAAATAATATCTCCAAGAAAGCTGTTCAGACATGAGTTCAACAGCACGTGTCTGTGTGTGTCTAGAGGGGGGAGATGCATGTGTGAAAGAGAAGATGACAAATGCTCTATTATGTGAAACCCAACTGAAGTGCTCTTCTTTTATGTGTGTGGAGATGACTGATTGAATGTAACTTTTTCAGGTACAACTTTGCGAGTGGAGCATAATGCCACATCAATCTGTAGTGATCAGTGATAGAAAGCATATTTTGCTCTTCACAAAAAGAAGGGCCAAAGCTATGAATGATATGAAGGCAAGGCACCCACAAGATGGAAAGAGACCCCACATAGATACTCTTGTTTCACAACCAAACATTACAGACTTAAAAATGGCAAGTCACCAAGGCTATTCCAGTTCATGCTTCTTTTAAGTGCTATTATTAGCATGGCTTTGGTCCCATCATTCATCAAACCTCTACCAAACAAACTATCCAATGGCTGTGGATTCCACTTCCAACAAATATCATCATGTGGATGTTTTATTCCCAAGCTATACACAAAAAAAGCACTCCCTTGACCAAATACGAAAATACATACAACTCTTCTTGCTAGCAGCACGTCTGCAAATTAGTTCAATATCTCATTATGTGCATATGCTATATCTGTCTTTTGCAGGGGAATTCTTCCACTAGTCACTCATCTACTAACCCTTTGCAACCGCAATCAAATGAACTTAACTAATAAGTGTTCTCTTCCTAGTCCTACTAGCCCCCGAGGCCAACAAAAGACTGGTAATGGAAGTAAATTCACTTCCTTCACTGCAGTACGTCACAGTGAAGTGGGGTAAAACGACCTACATGTTATTGTAGTGTTAACTAATCAGCGAATTTAACTCCAACCAGTGAACACAAACAAACAAGCATCTCAAAATAGACAGAAGGGATAGGTTACACAGGTAAATGCTTGTTAAGGATAAAGAAGCAAATCGATGGCAGACAGTATCAGTAGAGATTATGAGGTTGACAACTGATGGACCTGCTGTTGGGCTGCTAACCTTTGAAGTTAAAAAGTATTATCAAAGGACGACAATGGAAAGTAGGTATAATTTGAGCAGAGAAAACAAAAAAAGAAGAAAAAAAGGAAGATACTCAAGATTAAAAGAGAGAGAATCCTAAGCTCGACAAAAGACTAAACAGTAAAGCTGACGTAAGCATTGTCCCCCTGGAACACCAAGTGGGGGGAGTTACGGTGCTGAACTGAAACCCAAGCTATGATTTAAAAAACGGACTCATGCAGCAGGTTCCTTTCCAAACTGGTACTTAGCCCTCAAATGATTTCCTCTCCCTCCTACTTTTGCCACCATTCCAACAGCCTCTCTCTAACTCATCAAATCTAACCTCTGCTCCCAGCTATGGTGTTTCAGGAAGAAGGAAACGAAATGCCAGAAGCAAGCCAATATCAAGATGAATTCATAATAAGCAATAGCAGCAACAACGAGTGGTTGAACCTCAGCCTAGGTGGGGGAAGCTGTAACTCAGCAACTACAGGGTGCGATTCATCACAAGGAAGAGTTAAACCACACGGAAAGGTTTTCTCATGCAACTTCTGCAGAAGGAAGTTCTTCAGTTCACAGGCACTTGGAGGTCACCAGAATGCACACAAGCGGGAAAGAGGCACAGTGAGAAGATATCAGTCACAAAGGATGATGGTTATGATGGGTTTACCTACTATGCATACTAGTCTTCCAGTCGGCAGATCCCTCGGAGTCCAACCACATGCCCTGGTTCACAAGCCAACTAGAGATATGATCTCTACCGCCCCGAGATTTGCTGAGCTCGATAAAGGGTTTGGATCGACTTGCAAGCCCTTCTCCCTTGAAGGTACGGTGGAGTTGACGTGGCCAGGCAGCTTTCGCTTGGATCCAAACCTACCAGAGACGACCCTCGACCTTGACTTAAACCTCAAACTCTGATCACCCCTTCTGCCATATCCACAATTATCCTCTCATGTCAGTTCTATAAGGAACAGTTAATAGACTTTCCCCATCTACCAATAGAAACCTGATGAAGAATGAGAAACAAAACCTGAGACCTCATAATCCTGCAATACAGGTTCTTCCTGCTTTAACTAGAATCAAAAAGTGGGGAAAAGCCAACCATGTACCATCTCTCTACAGAACATCAAAATCTCATAACTTTTAAGGAAATTTCATTGAAAATTGTGTCGATGCTTATTTACTTTGCTAAGTGTCTGTTGGTTTCCCAGAAGATGATGATAGATTACTTCTGTCATGATGGTGTCAAGGGAATTGTAATCAAAATCAAGTCATAGAAATCAGTGGCACCTACCAGATCTAGAATCAAAGTTAAAAAAGCCACTTATTCATCCATCCATGTATGTTCTTTATCATACAGACTTCATTGCGGTTCTCGAGTCACTGTTCTTCCATGGAACGATTAAGAGGCAACAATCCGATGTCTCTCAATCCATTTGACTGGCAGAGCTCAGGGCCTAGACAGTGTCTGTAAATTATGCAGCATCCTACAAACATCTTGTTCTACATAGTTCCTTCCCCGTCAACTCTTCACTTTTCATACTCTGCAGCAGTTAATGCATCCTACAACTGCAAAGTGCATCCTATTCTTTACTTCCTACACGATACATGGTACTATGCCTTATTTCAATATCACCAACACACGATTATCCTACAAAAATTCCACTCTTAAGAAAAACGTCCTCCTCTCACATGAGCCTTCTTTCAATATCACCAATACGATTATCAAAGAAAAATTCCACTCTTTGGAAAAACATCATCCTCTTCCTTTTTTCTTTTTTTGCTTTCCATATAGCAAGTTGTAATTCATCGAAACCATCATACTCTACTGACAATAGAACATTAGAAATGGATATCATCCCAGCACTTGGCCTCTGTTGTTTTAGCTCCCGAATATGCAAGCATAAAGTTATATTGAAAAATTCACTGAGCAAAACATGCGTGTGCCAACATAATACACCTACAGGGTCTTGCCCTCTATCACAACAACATTGGAAGAACGTCGTCTTCTTCTATAATAAGTCACACAATTTACCATGGACCCTTAAGCTTCTGAGTCCTATGCATGATGACAGGAAGCCTCTGGCTGATGATGTTAGGATCACTGTAAGCAGAATCATCAATAGGGTACCCTTTCTGCAGCAAAATACAGAAATATCAGATGAGGAACAAGCAATATTAGGATGCTAAACCACTTTCAAGTTTGAGAGAAAATGTTCTCTATCTTTCAAAGTCTAGAGTGAACACTGAATGTTATTCACAACAATTGCCCCTTTTTCCCTTTAAAGCAACTATCCACGCTACTTGAGGGTCACTGATAACGTTATTCCTTCAATTATATATACCTGATATACAAAATTCAGAAAGAAATGTTCTGATTGATTTCATCAGGGGCTATATTGAACTAAAGAGATAATCTTTGGAAGCCGTAGCTCCTGTAGGAGAAGCTTAATAACATTACAGAATCATGATGCTGATGACAAACTATAAGAAATTCCGCGAAATAATAAATACATCTCTCTTCTTCGGGCTCTTCCTATTGTCTACCTGAAAATATGATCTTTCCTACGGCTTCATTTTTCTCACTAAATTAAATCTGCTTCTTTATCCTTTCGATAATAAAAACTTTTTCAACAATTTACTCGGCTCTTCCTATTTGAAGGACTAAAGTATTCATCAAGGTGATGCAAAAGAAAGTGGCCTAAGATCAGTTTGGCTCTTAAAGAGCATAAACAGCTTCACAAGGATAGGAAAGATGAGATAGCAACCATCATGCAAGTGATCGTACGCTTGTTGCACATAAAGCAGAGATCAGAATATGGCAATGCATAGGGAGAATGTGAAACCTACCGCAGACAGAGCCTGAAAGGTCACTTGTCTCCAGCAGCTTTCACGAAGGATAACAGGGTTTGCACCGTCACTGAAAGCACAATAGATGCGTGTATCCCGTAATCTCATCAGGACTCCATCAACTCTCAGCTGTACATCAAATTTGAATCAGATGGCATGGAAAATGAAGTTAGTGCAAGAAGAAAAACGATAAAAATATGAAAAGATAACAGCATTAAGATAAGAAAACCCGGTAATGTCAGTGGATAAATTATACTTATTCATTAGGGCCATTTTCAGGTATCTGATGTTCGAGTAATAACTCAATTCTTCAGTTTTGGTTATGAGCTCCAACAAAGTTTGAAGCAAAAAGTTCCAAAGTCCCTTAACTTAAATCTCAAGGGAATGAAGTGGTGATCATTCAGATTGGCAGGGTCCTAAACACGTGACTGAGAAATAGGAGTGCCATTTTTCTTTTGTCTACAAAACATGGAATTAAGTGATCAGAAGTTTTTCAGTAATTATGTGTTCTTTCCCTTATTTTGGAAATACAGAATCTAACAATATATTTTGTTTCGTGTATTTCGGTTTAGTATGAAACAAGCCCAGATTTACATTTTACGAGAAGAGAGAAAATAGTGTTTGGTAAGGTTAACATTCATCACAAAAGTTGTTACTACAAATTCAGATGAAGTGTCTTGTTTGAGCAATTTTTCTAATTTAATTTTGTTTATGCAACTTTTAATATAATTTTAGAAACTAAAGGATTAGATGATACAAATCCAGTTATCCAAAGGAGTGTTGGCTAAAAATTATCACAATTATGTAGATAGTGATTGGAGGGTAAACATGAATTGTGTTTCAAGACGTTGTGATGGTTAGAAGAAATTGAATGGTATTAGATTTTTACATCTTATACACTTGCGTCACTTTTTTCTTTTGCTGATCCTTTACGTTACTTTTACAATCCTTTCAAATCAAACAATACATATGGACAACATGCAGTCACCAAATAGCTGTTTTTTAAAAATGTTCCATGTTTGATGTTTCTTAGGCAATCCAGAAGTGCAAACAAAAGCTTGGTAATTCAGGCATGACAACTGGTCCTACATACGTGCTTGAAATTTTGTTAAGCAAATAGTTCTTCTATAAGTGATGGCTCCATATAAAATGAGAAACAAACATACTAACCCAATATCGCAAAAGAAGAAACCAATAACTTGGCATCACCCTCTGCAAAATGGCCAATGATATGGTTAGGTCTAAGGCATTCTAATACACCCAACATTCCATATCCACAACTGATACACAAGCAGAGAGTACTATTTACCACTTTTACAGTCAGAAGTGAAACTCCATTATCAGCCAGTTCATCTTCATACAAAACAACCTGGAGAGTAAGACTCCTTCACATTAGTTTCAACCAAACCTAGAGAGCAATATTGAAAACTCATGTAACAGAATCAGTTGGTCACCTCATCATAGAAAAGAATAGGCTCTTTAGAAGCTAGTGCACCAACATCAATGTGCTCCTTGCAATCCTCCCAGTGAAGCTTGTCACTTACATCAATGACTTTCCCATTTTCATTCTGGTCATGGAAACCAGAATAACAGCATTATTTTCAAGTTTACACAAGATATGCAAAAACAGCCATTCAACACAGATCATAGAAGTTCAGTCCAAGTTTAACAAACTGAGTTCATCATGTAATGTTTGAAAAAAACAATAGTGTTGTGTTCCTATTTGGTTAGCTCTGAAGAGGCATCACCATCTCAACAGACACGCAATGTTATTTCTGAGCTCCCAGCTTCTAAACCTCTGAAGTGAAGGCATTTTCAGTACTGTTGGGCACAAGGGTTAGAATGGCTATCTCCTTGTTATTTTTTTCCTTCTAACAAATGGCTTAAGACTTAAGAGTCCTACAGCTAGAGAGAATAATCCCTAAACACCCTCTGTCAGGTTAAAATCATTAAATATAGAAAAGCACCAAGATACGAGGAAGAAAACAGAATACAGCAAGGCCAGCAAAATACACAGATAAGCATACAAGACGAGAAGATCACTATATTCAGCTTATTACAAATAAATCACTGCAGGAAAGGGTTCAGGAAGAGTAATGGGTAAGAATAATCCTGATCCCAGGGAACTATTGTTCACCATACAGAATACATTGACATTTCAACCACATTCATGTGGAAAAAGTGAATAGAGAAACCAAAACTTGTATACTGACCTCCATCATTTCACTTCCAACATATGGTGTCGTGAAAGTATAATCATAATCTAGGATCACCTGCTGGAACGGCTTGCTGCAAGTTCACAATTGGCGTTATGACAGCCCAAAAACAGTCTCCTTTAGTTTGCCTATATATCTAAGCTAAATCAATTCAATAGCAAAGTTGCAGATACAGAAGGGCACATTTAATGGATTACACGAGACCAATGCCATCAATTTGTTCCTTATAGCCAGCATATGTTTAACCCTGCACGTAGCTACTTCACATACCACGTCTTCTTACAAAAGAAGATAAAACAAATAAAAGACCAACGTCAATGTGAGCATATCAACCAATAGTAATGCACCTGTAACAATTCATGGACATGATAACTAGTTCAGTCATTTCGGCCTGTTGATTCATTCCATGCACATAAACCTGAAACTGCTAGCATGCAGTAGACTACTGATTTAGGGATAAACATGAGCATGAACAGTTCTATACTCTGATACACAAACATCAAGGGAAATGGGAAGTGCCACCTTCTGAATTTCCACTGTGCAGCAGCAGGAACTTCAACTGGGGGTAAAGCTTCCTGCTTCCAACCCATAAGGGCATCAAATGCATTGAAATGAAGTTTGGTGCCACTCTTCAAATGTTTGAGAACCAAACAGCTGTCCCCAAAAACCATCTCTGGTAAGTGAGAGGTCTGCAGCTTCTCTTCCCACCTGCAAATAGATAGAGCATGTAGATTAGATAAGTATATGGAAGGAAAAGGGTATAGAACTTCTGTCGTCAATTGGAGAAGAAGCCCATAGACTTTGTGGCAACAAAGAGTTCCGACATTAAAGAAAGATAAATTATTTATACTTGCCAGACAAATTTCTTATTTCCTTGCACTGAAAATAACATATAACTCACGAGCAAACTTCAACTACCCAGAAAACATGACAAATACAAAAAAAAAAAAAAACAATACTCAGTGACGAGATACAATATATACGGAATATCCAGCAGAATCTGCAAGAACTTGTCTAGGCAATTTTTTTGAAATGATGTGCAATTGTATGCCGTCCCTCAGCAACGGACGGTAAGAGGGCAGTACAAGAACTAGCCAAACAAGGAAATTGAGCAGATGGAAAGCAAAACTGACGTTCAAATAACCAGAGAAATGACATACTTCGCAATTGAGTTTCCTATAAACCAACCGTCATGAACTCAAAGCTGATAGCAAGAAATTAAACCTAAGCTTTCAAGAACAGCAAAACTTAGCCACCCAGAAAAGTTCCACAAGGGGCCACATTGTTTAAGAAAGAGGGACAATATCATCCTGAGACCACTCGTTATCTTCTAAAAAATCATCAGAACCTCCCCACAGACACACAAAACAGTGACATTCGGATCACTCAATAGCATCTACACACTTCAACAATTACCAATCAGACAAACTAAAATTTTCAATATAGCATGATAGAATAAGAAACGAGGGAGTGAGAGGGAGTGCGAGTACTGTTCATGAGAGGAAGAGCTGAGAATAGAGCCTCTCTTGGAAACGATCTCCCAGCCATGAATACGGAGTCCGTGGCGTCCGTCGGTCAAAAGCTCAGCCCCGGCGGCTTTCAGGCCATTCGCGTCTACCTCCTCCGTCATCGCTGCTGCTGATTGTGTAGCTCCGTGCTTCCGCCGGCCTTCTCTTTTAACTTCCCTCTCTGGTCTTGCCTTCCAGCGTGCTATTTCGATTTTCGGCTTATGCTGGTAATGCCCACCGCGGCAATTATGTTTTCAGCTACCTGCTTCGGCCGGGTCATGCTTGATGAACCCGACCGAGAGGACTACTTGAATTGAAATAGTGCTGTGGCCTGTGAGTTTGGTTTGATACTTAGATTAACCAAAATGAAAAACTCATCAAATCACATAGATTCCCAAAAACCAAAACCAAATTTGTTAAGGACTTAGTGCGTTTGTTGGTTATAAGAAAAATCGATAATATTTTAAATGGTTTTGGTTGGTTTGAATAAACCAAAACAAAAAACTCAAAACCCATAATTTGGAAAGTTCAAAAATGAAATAAGAAAATATAATAAGACGCATGAAGATCGGAAAAAAAATCTACTACATATAAGTTGGTGATGACTGGTGATGACGTGTGTTGTGGGAATTAAATTAGTGTGATTAATTTCTTACTGGTTTCATATTTGTTTTTTCGTTTTAACCGAAATCAAAAACATTAAGATCCTAAACGACTTTAAAATCAAAAAACAAAATTGTTACATTTTTTATCAATTTCAGTTGAAACAACAACAAAAAAAACCAAACTGACAGCCCTAAGTTGAATTGGCATTCTAATTACAACAAGGCAATGGCGGCTCATAAGATATATATATCGATTCACTCATAAGTCGATAATCGAGTTGGCTTACTAGCCACAATGTTTATACATCTTATGAGCTCAAGGAATCAGCTCATAAGTTGAGCTCAACAAGCCACCTAGTAAATCTGGCTTGCGAACCTAGCGAGCTGAACAAATTTAGCTCAAGTTTGGCTTGTTAGTAAACGAATCGAACGTCGAGCCACTCATAAACAACTCTAATCATTTGCATCTCTAACCAAAATAGACTCAAGGAGTTGGCTTGGAAAAACTATGAACGTTTTTCTAAAATGCAGTAGTTACCGAGATAGATTTTTCAATACATAACTTACACTAAAATTTCTCGAAACTACTAAAGTTTGGGTTAGATCGCTTCTCATACAAGTGACTTTAATGTGCAAATCATTAAGGAAGCCCGCAATCCACGTTAATCGTTGTTGCATCGAACAAACAAATCTCATCACCCGTATATTCCGCGATTCAATACTATAATAAGTCGCGCTTGTGTAAAGCAATTCATAGAGTGCCAAAATGTATTGTAAATCACGCACAACGATTTTTGTCACCAAATGTGGACTCACGGAGCTTTGTGCTAATCCCAATAGTCAATAGATCCAACAGTAAACAATCGACTTGGAGATTTAATTCTCCAGAAACCGAAAATACAGAAGTCAGATTCATACATCTTATGATGCAAACCAAAAAATGAACAGTTGATACATGAAGGTGAATTAAAGTGACCTCAGGAAATCGCAGCCAAGCTTCGACACCATACAACAACGGTCCCCAATCGGGTTCACGATCAAGGAGCAGCACAAGGGACTGCCGAGATAGGGGAACAACAATGGTAGTTTGCCCGCATCACAACTTGCACGATAGGAGCATCAGAAGTAAAAGCATATCAGTACTCATGTTCTTTTGCATATAAATACGACGAAGAAGAGATACCAGTACTCGAACTCGGGGACCAAAAAATCAAAAGAGCACCGGTTGCCTTGTCGCAGAAGCACCAATCGAGCACTGGTTGCCATATACTCCTCTAGAAAGAAGCCACACCTTGATTAAATCATTCAATCACCTCACCCAACAGAATTCCTTCTTCTTTTCAATCTGCCACTCACCCGGAGAGTCGTCTGCGAACTCGAGCCCCCCATACTTGCTCCCTCACTTTTGATTTCTGCCTCCACCGACTGTTTATCGGATTTACGTTTTCTGCCTCTGGGCCGCGACTTGGTACCTTCATGTGCATCCAATTTTCTGTCCCCTGCACCTTTGATGCAACTTTCAGCAACACCATCCGCGTCATTCTCCAAAGGTTTCCGGTTTTGCGATCCCCCATTACAAACGGCATCGACATTGACATCATGATGCTCACCCTGATGCTGTTTGATGGCAGTTCCAGGGACCTTGCTGACATTCTTTCTCGAAGTACTTTTTTTACTTGAACTCCCTCCGGGCGTTGATGAATGGTTATAGCTCCAACGAGCATTCCCAAACCATTTGGTAACCTGCATCCAGAGAAGGGAAGGGGGTCAGGTCTACAGGTTGCAACAAAATCAGGAAGCACAATAATCTAAACTTAAGTGCAAGCACTATTTTCAGAAAAGTGTTCAATGAATACCTGATCCATAGTAAGTTCAAGCTCTGTTGCCAACTTCTCCTTTGTGGAATGGTCAGGATACTGATTCTCCTGAAAAGATTCATGAAGCCTCTGGAAAAAGGACTGCTTTCAGAATCTCATCATTTATGTAAATTCAATCACTAAAGATCCCTACATTAAAACGTAACCAAACAGCAGACAAAATCAAAGCGTCGTGAAGTGAGATGAAGTTTGCATTAAACATACCTGTATCACTGCTTCCCCAAGTTTTTTATAGGGTCCTCTTCTTATACGACGAGTTGACTGAGAAGATTCAGCCTTAACATTGGACTTACCACGGAATCTTCTCCTAGGGGTGATTTCGTTGTCCCCGGAGACTTGCTCTGTTCCCTCAGACTTCACAACACGATTTTTAGAGAATGGAGCAGCCATTGTGGCCTTTTTCCTAAGCTTTTTCCCGGCAGTATAGTCCTCATCATCACTTGAATCAGACGAACCATTCCCATATGTTTCCTTCACAGTATAAGAATAATATCAATGGACAGCTTAGACAGACAGTAACAGAACTGGAACCAAATGAAGTCAAGAAATTTCAACAGTCATTGCACAATTTAAACAGATGCAAACAGAAACAGTGGCATCCACCAGTGTGATGGAAAGTAGAACCCATGTAGACAGGCATGAAACAGAGGGATCTGCAAGTATGTAAAATAGCACCAGAATGATAGAATAGTGACCACCTGAATCTCTCGCTAAATGAAACAGATATGTGCCTCAACTTTGGCAAGTTCCTGACAAATAAGTTATGTTTATTCACTGAACTAAGGAAAACAGACTATGCCATAATGTCCAAAGGCAGCAGTAGATGTATGTTGCAACTCATAATACTTCTAAACAATCATATGAGCACTCAAATGAATTGCAAAAACTAGAAAGCAAGAATAATATATGTGAACCTGAATCATGAAACAATATAACCACACATCAGGGATCCGACTTTACCAAACCAGTGTGGCAAAGATACTCACATCATATAGTTTCCTATAGTCCAGTCTTTCAACATTTCTTTTCCCGGCTAGCAGTAAGGAATCATCTACGATGTCATCTGGCTCTGATGTTGATACTGGTTCACTGTTTAGTGACCGCCTCTTGATTCCACCACGCTGAACGACTTTTAGGTTCCCATTTTCTTCAGGCAACTCATTATCCTCAAGAACAGCATCTAGATCCTCAGAATCGGATGAAAAATCAGAACCTGAACTTTCTTCCCTCGTTGGTTCATCAGGCCCTCGACCATCAGGATTATAATCATCATCTTCTGAGTCATCAGATGGAAGACCCAAATACTTCTCGTCACGGGAAGTCCCAAGCTGCTCAGATGCAGAACTGAAGTCAGATTCATCAGTACCCAATCCGCCTCCCTGGCTTTTCTCGTCAACTTCTGGACCATCAGGGTCATAATCATCATCTTCCGAGTCATCTGAAGGAACTCCCAAATTGGAACCTGGATGTGGTGAGGATAATGTGGCAGCAGCTTCAGGGAATACCTTCTGCAAATAGTAACAGTACACAATGCAAATTTCTGACTAAGTAATTGGTCAAAATTTATTAGATAACAATTTCAAAAATAATTAGAGATCGCATGATGTACCTCCCAGCCATCAGTGATAGATAGATTCGTTCCTAGGTAGTCATTAACCATGGCGATGGAATCAACTTTGCAATCACATGCAGGGCACAACCAGCCCTCATCATCGGGAGGAACTACAAGCAAAGCAAGAAAGAAATCAGAAAAGCATGATGAGACAAATACTCAGAAAACATAGATTCCAACATATTGCTACCAAGCAAGCAATAAGATATTACTGTCTTCTTTCAACAAAGGAGGTATCAGACAGAACTGATGGAATCCTCGGTCACAAGCACCATCACAAAGTATAATATCATTTTCTGCTGTAAGTTCTTTGGATTGACATTTTGCACAATATATCTGTCAGAAAAATGAAGCCAAGATCACAATAAATAAATAAATAAATAAATCAATAAGCGAATGATAATGACAAAGAAGAATGAGGTTCTCTAACAAGAAAGCTCATAGCTTAAGTAGGAAATTACTCACATCCTCACTACTAATCTGTCCATCAGAATCGAATATAGATGCAGGGAAGCTTCCTTCAGCACATAGTGAATCAATGTGTTTAAATAATTCCCTTATTTTTACTTTAAGACGAAAAATGTCAGATGAGGCTCGTTGCAGCTCCTTCTCAGGTTTCAACTTTTCCAGACTGCATGAAGTTACAAAAGGAGCAAAGCAACTATTAAACATGAAGGATGTTGCAGTCTATATACAGAATACAAATAAAACACAAACAAGAGCAGGGGCACTGGAGTGGGACTAAACCATGTGAAACATGTGCTTTCCTTTAACCGAATAGTTTTTAAAGTAATTCTTGGCTGTATTTGTAATCCCATTTTACCAACTTTAAGTCAAGGGTGCAGACTTCTCCGTAAAATTACAAACTATTCCACCTGGTTTTGCTCCCACATCTAAAGTTATCCTGCTAAACCAACTGAAACGAGGTGGAATAGTTCGTAATTTTAGGGAAAACTTCCTCCACCCTTGACTTAAGCATTCAAGATAAGGAGGAAAAGGATGGTTTGCAACAAAGGCAATGTAGAATAAGTAATTCAGCTAATAATCATGGCAAATATATTTTGTCGAACCAGGCAAGACAAGGTAAGACTAGGTGTAATTTCAGGGACAAGGTCTCCACCTAGATAAATTACCTCACAACCTATGTTCGGGAAACTCTAGAGAACAAGAAAACGTAGGATAAGAGGGCATAGGTACTTTGGTTGAGAAAGTAAAGCAATTGAAGGAAAGAACAGGAGGGAAATGCCAAGAAATAGTTTGAATGTAGCACAAGACCAGAACTAGTAATTCAAGGCTTATAAAGACTTCACGCAGATTCGAGCCAACGCCTCAATTTCTGCCATTCAAATTCGAAACTGGTAAAGATCAAATTGCAAGTCTCTTTGCTCTTTGGATCACCAAACACCACCAAATCATACCAACACTTCCCACTGTAAACGATCCCAATTCTAATTCTTTAATTTTCTTCTTCGGCACTTTCCACTGTAACATTCCAATATAAAATTACAGAGTCATGCATAAAAGCAATCATACATGAGAGTACATAACAAGACAATAACGATACCAGACCTAGTATGAGGGAAATTAGCTCCAAGAAACAATGCAAGTTAATGTACTCACTTTTGTCCTTTCCAACCGTCTGCAGAATATGCAACAATCAGGCTTTGCTCGAATTTCATTCGGTGCAATAAATATCTGAGGTGTGACCTGATTCTAGTGTACTCATCTGTCACAGTTCCCTTCTTCCTATCCTTCTTTCTTCTCTTCTGTTTCTTCCCATCAAGGCTAACATTAGTTGGGTCTCCACCTGACTCGGTACTTTTCTGTTTACCTTGTGACTTCAACTGGAGTTTCCTATCACCTCGTGCTGAAGACCCTCTCTTAGTAGTGTGGTCAATGTAGCTAAGACCACACACCACCTCTCTATGAGGAATTCTTAACTGCTTTCCATTGGTTGACTTCTGGCCATCATTAGGGAGTCCAGGTTGTTCAGCAGATAACAGGGTAGCATCACCAGCAGACATATCTTCCTGTTTGCTGGGAGTGCTTATGGTCACAACCGTGGAAAGTGGTTCAGATTGCTCAAGCGAATTACAAGTGGATGAAACAGGATCAATCTCCACTTTACCATGTTTTCTTTCTTTGGTACTAAGATGTGGCTTATCTGTTTTCCATATTGAACGTTGAAGACGACAAAAACTTCCATCAGAATTATCAATCCTGTCCGCATCCTCACAGGCAGTTCTTAAACCTTCAGTGTGGTCACACTTAGCAACATCTTCAGGTAACCGTTGCGAAGTTTCTTTCAATAAGCAGTTTGATGGTTCACTACCAATTCCTTGGCTATGAGTTAGCTGAGTACTAGGAGTAGGCATATCATCGTCACTAAAATGTTTATCCTGTAGACATGCATCACCAACTTTGTTGTGCTCATGTTCACAGGCACAATTAGGATTCTGCTCTACTGTAGTTTGGTCCAGGCTCCCATTCTTAGCAATCAGACTGTCCATGCCTGCTTCTTTAAGCTGCAAGCCAGACCTGTTACCATCCTGTTCTGATGCATCTTTGACAGATGGCTCACAGATTTCAGTGGTTAGGCTCATGGAGGCAACAACATCTGTATCTGTTAGCTCCGTTTGCGCCGACACAGACTGATCTTTCTCGCAGCAAATTCCACTAATTCTACATTCATTTCCTAAGTCGTGAGTCTGTTCCACTGTTGCTTGTTTAGGATAGGACGTCTCACTAACTTTAGATGGAGAAACACCCATATGGTCGACTGTTGACATAGAAGGCTGTTGCTATAAGTATGAGATATAATGTATACCTAGTCTACCTGAACTAAAACGGACCCTCAACCATAACGGCTTGCTAATAGCTCAAAGGACGAAGAATTTTCTGTACAACTACACTGCTAAAATTCAAAGACAAATATCATGAACCATCAACGAAGGACTCGTGGCGTTTAGCGTGAATACCACCCATTCCCAATGGCTGTGAACTAAATTAAACTCATTGCCTGCAGCATAATCAACACGCCAATTCAACTTCTTTGATCATCTAGCTGTAGACCTGCCAACATCCAGTCAGGGAAGTGAGTTTTTTTCATACAGGAGACTCGGAAAAAGAAAAGTATATGAATGGAAAGGCCTGGCCAAAGGTAGCATAAAGCCCTTATGTAACAATAAGAGGTATATACGCAGGAAGGTAAAATAAAAGTCCACATGGGTCACACAGGCAACACCATAGTGAATCGAAGCTACTCATGTATACAAATGTTGAGAATGAAACCAACAGAGTAATGCTAAACATAACGCTCTGTTAATTTCCACCGAAACTCTAAACAGAGGAACATAAACTTTAAGTGGAGAGAAAATACATCAAACTTCTTCATCATTTTAGAGAAACGTCTCAAAATATACTTCCCTTTTAACTTAAAGTAGACAAGATCAAGGGGAAAAGGAAAATATGGTTTGGGAATTTCCAAGGTAACTCATAATATCACATGTTTCCGACTTGCATCTTTCTCTATTATGGTGTACCAAGTACTTAAACGTGAAATAATTTATTCTTTCTTGCATGTCAAGCCATATCCAGACTTACCTAGCTTCAACTTCCGGTTGTCTAATACTATGTCAGGAACCAATTTTACGCATAAAGAAGAGATGCACAAAATAAGAGGTAGCACACCTGATTGAAAATCAAAGTTAAAGATCCAACAGAACAGTACAAAGTGGCTTCTACAATACAACATACTCCCTTTGCACTACTCCTTAAGGCACATATAACATCAGCGGTCTCAGAATGGTCAAACCAAATTGCTGTATGGTCAACAGTAATATGTTGGAGACTAGAGGAAACCAGGTTACTTAAAGATATGAGGATTCTACAGCAAAATATTCTAGGCCGGGTATTATCAAGGGATACTGTTCTGCTAAACAAACTGATGAAATTTTTATCATTGTTTCCAAAGACAAAATATGGGAAAACTGACGCATTGCAATAGTTCCGTTCCTATCACCAAGATGGTATCGATTCAGGAAGAATTAAAGCACTTGACTATCCCCATTGCCAGCTATCTACTGCGTACACGGCAAAAAACAGCACCTAACTTACAAAAACACGCAATCATCTTTCTTCAAAAATTTAGGAGAGTAAAAATACACTCACGCTGTAGGAACGCAAAACGCCTTGTACTGTAAATTCAGCGCAAGAGACTGAATGAAACGATGAAACTTTTCACCTTTCCATTGTTGCTGTCGATTAAGGACAGCAGCCCAACATCAACACTGGGACGTTACAAATGCCATTACCGCACTCCATCTCCAACCCACACAGGAAACGAACAGAGCGAAGGCAGACATGTATGCCTCTAGCGACCCGAAGAAGCACTGGGAAAGAAATATTACGAGAAAGCAAACGAAAAAGCGGCCAGTATCTTAACACATTTTACTTCGTGCCCAGGGTTTCTAAACATCCCGCGGCCTATCACTAGCTAAGGGAACGAGAAGATGAAAGAGGAAAGCCTACGCAGCTAACAACTTCAAGTAAACGTCCTCTATCTCTCACCTTCGTTCCAAGATCAGACGGCAAACATTAACACGATGAAATGTCATCCTGCCTATCTTTTTCCCTTCGCTAAGCCACCATCATTCCAAGAAGAAGAAAATAAACGGAGAGAGAAAGCGAATTGAGGATATAAGGTACAAGGAAGAACTGACCTGAACTCGGGGACGGTGGTAGAATGCTCCGGCGAAGAAGAAGCGGAAGAGAGAGAGGGCGAGAGATAAGAGGGGGAGGAGGAGGCGGTTGGGAGGGGAAAAGGGGAAGAAAAAGGGCGGTCGATAGAGTGAGTAGAAGCCTCTAAATCTGGGGCACCGTCGCCTGCTGCGAGGGAGAAAGAGAGCTTTGGCTAAATTTTTTTTTTGTTGTTGTTGCTGTTTTAATAATTTTTCAGTTTTATTTACTTCCACTAAATTTTGTGTTATTAATTTTCCTGCTTTTGTGCGCTGACCGACCATGTTGTGTTTCCCGATGCAAAGTTCCCTGATAATGGGCTGGGCCAAAAAAATTTGTGCATTCATTCTTTTTGGGCTTGAAGTTGCTGCAATGTTTGGGTTCTTTCTTGGGCCTTGGCCCCCATTTTCTTTTTAATTCGTTGGCATTAGGATTACAGCCAAGAGTCCGACGCTAGAGGCGCAACCAGGCCACGCCTTAGCCGGTCTGAGTTTAAAGTTTCGTTTGAAAGCAGCTGTGGCTGGCAGTTGTACAGTTTAGTCTGGAGAGATCCCAACCAAGAGAGAGAGAGAGAGCGCGCGCTAGCAGCGGGAACAAGAAAACAAAAAAGACGACGAAGAAGAAGAAGAGGAAGAGACGAATTTCCCTGCTTTACGATCCGGACATGGCAGCTTCTGTTGCCATCTCCTTCTCCACCCCGCGCTCTCCTTCTTCTCCCCCTTCTCAATCTAAATCTTCTTCTTTCCAACACTGCCGTAGCCTTCCTCCTTCCTCTCTTTCATTTTCTTCTTCTCATCCTCCTCCGAATCTCCGAATCCTCATCTCCGTCACAAACCCTAGGAAAACCCGAGCCTTAGTCCGCGTCTCCTCCAATTCAGACTCTTCGTCGTCTTTCGAGGGTGATTTCGGCTCTGATTCCCCACCGTCCTCTGCTGATAAGGTTAGCGCCCGTTGCTCTTTGCTTTTCATGTACCCTTTTCGGCATGTTTTATTCTGTGGCGAGGGGTTGTATTGTGGGGGTCTGGCCTTACATGGTTAATCTGTTGTGCAAATTATTGAGATTACGGTGATCAATTTGAATTTGCTGAACTGATTGGTTGTCGTCAATGAATCACCTAGTCTTTACACAAGGGGAATGGGTTGGCCCGCTATTGTTTCTAAGGGATACATGCATAGTAGAGCTGCAAATCGATGACATTTCTTGGCAAGCAGCTGTCGTAGTTGATCAGTGACCGCTGTTGGCAAATCCTTTTGTTTTAGGGGGGTTGAACAATGCTTTAGTGGGCCATAACTGGACAAACCTGCCAATTATCATATTGGTGGGATTTGGAAATGGTATTATGATCCCCCACAATCGAGAGGGTTTTCAGTGGGGGTTGCTCTAGCCTGTAGGCGAGTAGTTAAATGACTGGAACTACTTAATCGTTGTACTTTGTAGCTTCTCTTTATTATGCATTCTCTAGAGTTCAGGTCTGCATTTGTCTGTTGCTTTTGCTCTCTTTCATAGGATACCGTCTTCATTGGGTTAGTGGCTGAATTTCTTTGGAGATCTATTTGATCCTTACAGTTCGTAGTTCGAAATCCAAACAGTATCGTCTATAATAGTATTCCAAGTCGCAAAAAGTGAAAGACGGGATATGCAATGTAATGATCGCTTTGTTCTTTCTGTCTACCGTTTTTTTGTTGTTCTGCTAAGTGAAAGAGGAGGAATATTTTCTTTATTTTTTTATTGTGCCACACACACTGGTTTACATGTTCCATAAGCAGATTTTTGCCTGGCGTAAAGCCCATTTTGTGTGTTATTTTCTACGTCATTCTCTTGCGGAATTCTTACTTGTGCAATATGTTTCTTAGAAATCAGTCCTCTCAAAGTTGATACAAGAGATAGAACCATTGGATGTTAGCCTCATCCAGAAAGATGTTCCACCTACTACCTTAGATGCTATGAAGCGGACTATTTCAGGCATGCTGGGCTTACTTCCATCAGATCGGTTTCAAGTTTATATAGAGGCTCTGTGGGGACGTCTCTCCAAGTTATTGTTCTCCTCAATGATGACAGGGTATGGTTTAACTTGCAGCCAATTTTTGGATGATGATGTTCTCTTTCTCTCTCTCTCTCTCTCTCTCTCTCTCTCTCTCACACACACACACACACACACGGAACTGGTGAACAATCAAACATGAGAAAACTGTTGTACTTTGTGGACAATCATGAGACCAGTTGACATGATGATTGTCTCTGAAGCAAACTATGTTAGTTCTTTTCCACTGATTTATCTGCCTAATGCATATGTATACTATTACATGTCGGCATGTTCTGTATAATTTAGTGTCTTGAAGCCACTGAATAGGTGTGTAGTAGTCTTTTAGAGGTCTACTTGTTTGTTGTGTGAAAGATGATAGAAGAGGGAGGAAGAGAAACACGAGAAAGAAGTCTTCGGATTGGTGAGGATGGTTGGTGTTAATTGGGTAACATTGTAAAAATGAAAGGAAAACATAATTGTGGAAAGAAGTAGGCCTGGTTTCTCAAAATGTTCACCATGTTCATTTCATGTTTGATTTTACTCGTCATTTTATTGTATACTTTCACTTAGATTTCACTGGTTGACTTATTAGTGGTTAAGTTTATGCCGGGACCAAGTTAGTTGAAATATGCTCTACGAAACTATAACAGTAGGAAGTTGAAATTGTTGGGTTGGTTCTTGCCTTGTGCATCCGTCTCTCATCGACAAGTGTCAGGGACAGCATCTTCAGTTTATTAGTAAATAAATTAAAATTCTCAGTTACTTCTGATCTCTTAAGAATCAAAGTACATGAGAGTAAGTCATTGATGAATTTGAGTTTCATGCAATAGGTACACATTGCGAAATGCGGAGTATAGGCTTTGTCTTGAACGAAACCTTGTTATAGCAGAGGAAAATCTTGACCATTGTCCTACAGAAAATTCTGCATCAGATTTGCTTGGAACAGTGGACAGTCCAACTGCAAATCAGTGTTTGGGAAACAATATGCAGTTTGAAAAGGTTGTCGAAGAATCAGGAGACGATAATGTTATTCAAGGCCTTGGTGAAATTCCCCCAGAAGCACAGCAGTATATTCTTCATTTGAAGTCTCGTCTATCTTCTATGAAGAAGGTATCATGCTATCCTCAAAGCTGTAAATCAACTTTTACCTCTGTCTACCTTCTTAAATTCTTGACATTAATGTTGTCAGACAGAGATGTTATGTCATTGTTTTTTCAAGTAGTACACTATGTTAAGATCTTTAGCACTTTGTATTTGAAAGGTGATTCCAATGGTGGCAAACAATGATGGAGTATCACAGAATGAAGCCTGGTATGAGACCTTTGGATGTCTTGAAGCAATATCACGTTTCACTCCTATCTGATCCACATCTTACAACTTAGGACTACTCTTAGTGGTGAAAGCAATAAGTTATTTGCATGAAGCCTATATCAAAAGCGACTATGGTGGTAGTGTTTACTTGTTGCTTGTCTAAGGCTTATAGAGTTAAGATTAGTTGTCGTCACCCTTCTAGGCATCTACCATCTAGTCGTGCTTATGATTTCCCTTCTTGTCTTGCTGGCTCAGCTTATTCTGGAGATTTCAGTTCAGAATTCTTGTAGGGATGCTGAAATAGCAAAATCTTTCACCTTTATTGTTGGCCACTCTTTTGATGCTTCATCTATAGCTGTTATAACTCAACCTTTTGTGCATTTGGCGAGTTCTTACATTCTTTTTTCCCGATTCTTTAAGGAACTTTATGAAATCAAGCGGAGAAGTGATGCTCTTCAAATGCAACAGTTTGTTGGTGAAGAAAAGAATGATTTATTGGACTACTTACGATCCTTAAAACCTGAAAAGGTGGTATTCTCTGAACTGTTCAATGTTTTTTTTGTATTGTTGAGAACTCTTTTATGGAATTATGATTGCATGTGTTCTTCTTGTAGCTGCTTCTTTGGGCTTTGAACTTGGAATGCTTGGTTTAGTTGGATTTACGATAACATATCCTTTTACAGTGTGTTGTTAACTATGACCAAATAAGTCTGTGGAGACAAATACATCTTCTCATTACATGTATACACGATGAATATATGTTTGTATTTTCCTGATGCATCACGTTTAAGTTCCAGACTGCATCTTAGAATGATTCTGACTCCTATGTTACCGGGGATGAAGATTGAGGACCAACTATTTCTTCCTTGTCTTTTGGCAAGGTCTTTATGTGAAGTGAAGCTATGGTTCTCACAGTAAGAGGTACTATGTCGGCAGGGATGCTGTTTCAGACAGTAAAACTTACTGGAAACATTACTGTGCTATAGCATTTAAGATGTAAGATTTGGAAATTCGAGCATTAGAAGCCATTTTAAAGGGGCTGTTTCATTGTCAGATTGATGACCTTGGTTGTTATGAGAATACCCCCTGAAGTTGTTAGACAAAGCCAGCTCAGTTTGGTTTGGTTCTATCCAGTCAATTACAGTGGTTTTTATGACAATTCTTCTGACTTTTAGTCTGATAAAAGTTGGTGGGTTTATAGGGACAAACCAATGCCTTGCCTTAACCGTTCGATCAGCACATTGAATGACAAAATTTAACCGTGGCAATCAGGTTGTAGCACCTTACTTTCTGTTAGAGTTGCTTTTGAAGTGCGCTCTCCCTTTTGTCATTTCCGATTCCCATATTTCTCATGGTGCTATTTGTCTTAGATAATCTTGCCAGCCGCTTGTGATGTGGTGTTCTCTTTATTTTTTTTATATTTTGCTTGCATCTGATGCTATTCCTGCATGAACAGGTAGCCGAGCTGTCTGAACCTACATCCCATGAATTGAAAGAGACTATTCACTCTGTAGTTCATGGTCTTCTTGCAACTCTTTCTCCAAAGATGCACTCTAAGCCTCCCCCTCAATCAGAGTCCACATCAGCTGGATCTGTGAATGGCGGTGGTGAAGATTGTGCTGAACTTGTTGAGAACACTTCACTTCAGTTCCAGCCGCAGATTTCATTGACCAGGGACTATCTGGCACGCCTACTTTTCTGGTGAGGCCTGAATCCTTGGCCTTTTGTTGTGTTATGATTTTTCTTCTCAACTAATGAAGATTTAGGCATTAAGCACTCCGAGTATGCATCGACACTCAATCTGGGATTTGTGACAGCTTTAGATCAGGGATTTCAAATGTGATGGTGGAGGATAATAATCATGACATGTGTTGAATGATACGGTTTGAATGGAAAATTGCATGCGCTAAAACTAACTGCTGAAGATGCTCGAAAATGTGTTTGTTTTGATGAAGGTTGCCATCTGATTTTGGCTAGGAGCTTTTGTTGTTGCCTTCTCGTGGCTGAGCCTTCTTCACAGCTTTAAATTTCTTCTGTTGTGGCCTTAGGTGCATGCTGCTGGGACACTACCTACGGGGCCTCGAGTATCGTATTGAACTGTCGGAACTCCTGTCCTTGACAAATGATGGAGAAAGCGATGCAAATTGAAGCCGGTCGGATTAAAACATGTTTTTTGTAGATGTAAATAGATGCCAGGGCATCATCACTGCACACAAGATTCTTTTTTCCAGCAAGGAAAGGAAGAAGGAAGCAGTATGCAATTACTGCGTATCAGTACTGTAGATATGAGGAGTTGAGGACGCCACTTTTTATTTATTTTTATTTATTTACGTCATTATTTCATTCAGGTGCTGGTAAAAGATTAGCTTTTTATTATGCCACAGAGAATAATCATAAAACAAAAACAGAAAAAAAGCATTTTATAACCGAAATGTGATGGTATTAGTAATTTTATTGTAAATTAAACATTATTTCTAGCCCTATAATTTTAGAGCACTGCGCTAGTTACATGAGCTAGGATTGGAATTTTCGCCGGCAAGACTCTCATTGGTGGACAACTCTTGTCTTTCTGCTTCTTGATCGGCGCTTGAACATCTACCTTCCAACTCACCATGGGAGCTGAGATTGCAAAATCATGGCCTGAACTGTTTGGCATAGCGGAAGCAAACAGATTGGTGTGCATCAAGCCAAAGATAGTAGACGGTGGTTTGCGAAAATATCGAAAAAAGCTGGTGCAGGAAGGCATCTCGTGGTGGTCGAACTGTTTATTCGGGGAATTTCTCCACTCTACACCACACATCAGGCAATTGTAGCTTTGGGCGAATTGTCTGAGGGGAAGGATGGTTGAATTTAGGGTTTCATGGTTGGCTGCTGGGAACCTAATTCTATTTCAATTCCCGTCGAGGAGGCTTCGACGAGTTGGGCATTCTTGAGTGGTCCACGACACTTCCAGAACTATACGTATTTTCTGCGTAAATGAACCCCGTGAATTTGAGATTTTGAATGCCACTCTACTATTCCAGTGTGGGTAACCTTTGCATGACTTGCTAGCAGAGTATGTCACAGACCGTATTTTTACACGCTTGACTAGTATGCTTGGGAACCCTCTGTGGCTCGATCAGACTACGAGACTGTTACGAAGATTAGGGTAGCCGAAGGTGAGTGTTAGATAAAATGCAAAACAAGAAATTAGACTACTGTTGCGTACATTAATATAATTCAAAACAAGAAATTATTAGATAAAAAGAAAAGAAAATATTAAATAAGAGAGATATAACTCAATAAATAGATAAATAACTAAATTTTCTGTTTGTAAATTTTTTTCCAACTTGCATCCTTTTACTATTTAATACTTATTTTAGTTGATAGACATATACATCAGCCATAAAAGCATGTTTGATAGCCAAAGCCCAAAAGGGCGATGTACAAACATATAAAGTAATATAGTTACTTCCCAAACTTGATTGAATGTTAGTGACTACATGTGAAAGTTTTTGCTTCTTCCTTTCCTTCTGCTGATGATTGTTTTCTCATTTCCATTGTTATATTTTGTTTAATGAACAAAATTATTATTATTTACGCGTGTTTGTTTAATTGTTTTATCAAAATATAACTTATATTAAATTTTAAAAAATATGAGTAGAAAATTTATTTGATTCAATCCTATATTTTTGGTTTAATAATATCACAATCTACCTCACTTTCTGTTTTCATCTTTATACATTTTTAATCGACAAAATATTATTTTCTTATAACGACAGAAATATTATAACTTATGTGTGTGATTTTTTAATTTTTTATTTATCAAAATGTAAATTATTATTAATTTTTAGTAAAAATGAGTATACAGTTTACTGAGTAAGGTTTAATGAGATACTTTCGGTTTAAACAAATTTTATATATGTCGCTTTCAGATATTGGTCTACTACTGCATATATCGGCATAATATAGAAAAAAAAAACAACCGACGTAATAAGAACTAGTGTTTGTGAAACCATATTGGATCGACTGTCTGACTCTAAAATTTTATATCGGGACGGGACCTAAATTAACGATATGAAATTATTAAACTTCGATTAAACCATAATTTTAATATAAAATACCCTACTTTTACATTACACCTCCGATACCGTTTCCCATTCAGTGATTGAAGTATATAACAAACTGAGTATCCAACCAGGAAGAAGAAGAAGAAGAAAAACAAAATTAGTTTGGATTAATACAATCCCCAAATAATTCTAACTCCACTCTAACTCTTTCTCCTCCATATCCGCTCTCTCCCGGTAAAAAGCTAACCTTCTCCTTCTTTCTCCATGCAACCGACTACTTCCCCCCGTCTTCTGTAAACCCTAAACCCACCCAAAAAAAAAAAAAACCAGTCATCATCAATAATGGCGCGGCGAATTGACGATCCAAATGACAACCATCCATATCAACAACACCAATTGCTCTTCACCGCCGCCAAGAACTACCAAAACCCTAATAATTACTACGCCGCTGACCCGGTCAACAACCACTCCTTCCCATGGCAGCAGCAGCAGCACCAACTCCTGCTTCCTTACATGAATCCCAATCAGCTCGCCGCCGCCGCCGATCTCCCAGCTTACACCGCCGCCGCCGCCGCCGGCGGTCTGGATTCCGTCAATTTGCAGTTGATTATGAACAACAACAACAACATCAATCAAAGTCATCTTCATGATCTGGAATCGGCTTTCGCCCGGATGAACCTGGCCACCGCGGCGGCGGCGGCGGCTCAACCACCGTGGCCATCTCAATTAGCCTTCCCGCCGGCCGCGGGTTCCTTGTCCGACACGAGATTTCAGTCTCTGAACAGCTTAATGAGAGGAGGGAGAAGAACCGACATCACCGATCTCTTCCCTCCGCCGAATTCAAGCCCCGCCACCGCCGCCAACTGCCCTAATTTCAGCCGGAATCAAAATCCGTACGGTTTCGGCTTCGATGACGTCATCCTGACCGACGATAATTACGATCGTCATCATCATCATCGCAATCATTCCTCGTACGATCATATCTTGAAGAACGACAAGCCGCAGCTTCTGCCGTCCAATCACCGCCCACCACGTCAGCGGTACGGTAGCTTGTTGGAGACCGGTTACAAGAACAGGACGACGACTACTCCGGCGTCGTCCTACTACTCGCCGGAGGAGGTGAGGGAGAGACTTGTGGAGCTGGCGAAGGCGAAAGAGAGCTCCAGGGCGCTGCAGGCGATTTGGGAGAGCCGCCACCACCACCACAACAACTCCGATCAGCTTGCGGAGCTGATCTTCGCCGGGGTGAAGGCGAACCTGAACGAGCTGATGGAGGATCAGTACGGGAATCATCTCGTGCAGAAGATATTCGAGCTCTGCAGTTACGATCAGATGGCTCAGATTCTCCTCGTCGTCGGAGCCCACAGGGACAGATTCGTAGATACCTGCCTCCACCAGCACGGGTATACGCGCATATCGCTTACTGATAAACCCCAATCATCACATTCTATGGTTACAACAACCAATCTAGCAAAATTTATAACCTAAATTCTAAAAATTTATCCGAATTGGATCGATAATACGTTACACGAACACATGGAATGTTTAATTAATCGAGCAACTCGCAGGACTCGAGCGGTGCAAAAGATGATACAACACATCCAAGCGGCGGATCAGAGGGCTTCCTTCTTGTCGACGATGGAGAACGCGGTCATCAGGATGTGCAAGGATCAGCACGGCCAGCATGTCGTTCAACAGTGCTTGAAATGTTTCGTCGGAGATCGGAGCATGAAGGTACGTTTTACAAAATGATGCTACTGCTAGTGATTGGCGGAGTTTCTTTGCTCTTTTTTTGTCTAATTTTGATCGCTCGTGTGATCGTAGTATGTGCTGGAGCAAATAGCAGAACACTGTCTGGAACTCTCAATGGACAAGAGCGGGTGCTGTGTGGTGCAAGGCGCTGTGAGTTACGCCAAGATTTACGGCGAAGCTGAGCTCCTCGACCATCTTTGTGCTCGAATCGTCTCGAATGCCCTAATCCTTTCCGAACATCCTTTCGGGTAGGAATGCATTTGCCAATAAATCAAGCAAAATAAAATCACTGGTGATGATGAATGATTATTATTATTGTTGTTGTTGTTGTTTCAGGAACTATGTTGTGCAGTATGTAATCGAGCTGAGGATGGAGGCGGTGAACGGGAGGATAGTGAACAGGTTGATCGGGAACCACGTCGGGCTGTCGATGAGCAAGTACGGCAGCAACGTGGTGGAGAAGTGCCTGCGGATCTGCGGGGACAAGGAGAAGGCGGTGATCATCAACGAGATCATGAACAGCCCTCAGTTTCTCGACTTTCTCCAGGATCCTTACGGCAATTATGTTGCTCAGACGGCACTCAAGAGATCTGAGGTAATTGATTGAAGTATTAAATCAGTTCATTGATGATCTGAGGTAGTTAATTAATTAATTTTTCCTTAAATTTTCGATTTCCAGGGTGTTCTGCAGAACAAACTGGTTAATATGATTCAAGAGCAGTACCCGTATTTGCACAGCCATCTTCATGGGAAGAAGGTGCTGGCTCGAACCAGCAGATCAGGGAACAACAAGCAACTGCAGCAGCATCGTGCCGGTCCGAGTGTGATGATGATGATGAATGAGTTCCCCGGGCGACATTTCTGAGGATCAGTGATCTGAAATGTGTTTGCTAGAAAAGTTCTTAATTCTTATTTATTTTGCCCAACGTTGGAGCGAATGTAGTTGTGCCTGGAAAATCAGTGTTGTTATTTTTTTTTCGTTCTCTCTCTCTCTCTAGATGTTATGTAGCCAGTTAAAAAACCCTAAGGGCGGTTTATGTCGTCTTAGACCTGGATGGGAATTGTTGTTTGTTGTTTAGAGTAGTGTCTGTTCGTGAAATGTTCCAAGTTGTAATTTGTTGTTTAGGTACTTGCATGCAGTTTTAATATCGTTTTAATTGATGGGAATAGAGCTTAATTACTATATATGTAGCCAATCATTTATAATTCGTACATGCAATGGATGTATTTTCACCATTTTGATGCGAGGGATATATAACGTATTAACACTTAAAAGTATTAACATCCTGTATGGTTTCGTCGATCCAGTGTAAAACAATTAACCGTGATAAAAAAAAAAGTAAACCAAAAAACCTCACGAAGCAAACTACAAACATTATTGAAGAAAACATGTAATACAGAAAGATTATAATGGTGAAATAATTTTTACCAGTATACAACCCGGTCGATTTATTTGTTTCACACAAAGGGAGAAGTGGAGGTGGGTTCCGTTCGATGGCGGGAGCCGGGAGGACGGAACGGAAGAAGAAACTGTTGTGAATAGTAATTACCATAATACCATAATTATTTTTAGTATAGTGCTAACACTTAAAGTATTAACATTCTATATGGTTTCGTCGATTCGATGTAAAAATAAAAAATCAACATTGATAAGAATAATTAACATGCCACCAAAATATCATTATTATTAATAATCCAGAAATAGTCAAAGTTGCATTGCAACAGAAAATACTAATAATCCACCATTTTAACAACCAGTCGATATATTTAATTTATTAATAACAACATCCCTAATCCCCTAAACAGATCAGCCGATTAATTTGGCCGCGTCCCACCCAGATAAATTAATATAAACAAACACTACTACAACCCAAAATTGCTTAATTAATTAAGCAGAGTAGAAATGGGCAGCAACGACGACGACGGCGGCAGGTGCGAGCTGGACATCGGCGGGAACCTCTACTCGTTCCTCCCATCCGCCACGGTGATGGACGTGAAGCAGAAGATCGCGTCCCGCTCCAACATATCGGTGTGGCGGCAGAACCTGCTCCTCCCGGCGGCCGCGCCGCCGCCGCGGCAGACGGAGATGGACAACGACCGGACGCTCGCTTCCTACGGAATCATCAAGTCGTCGCCGGCCGGCGGCGGCGGCGGCGGCGGGAGGAGGTTGTTGTTGCTGGAGATCGATCCTCTACCCATCAAGGTGATGCTCCGGTTCGTCGGCTACCCGACCTGGCTGGACGGCGACTTCATCACGTGCTACGACTCCGTCACCGTGAGGAATTTCACGGCGATGATTGTGGAGAAACTGCACATTATGGGCCTGCTGGAGATCCGGCCGGAGGATATGGTGCTGAGTGCTGGAAATGATGCGCTCGACGATCCTGGTGCTGCTCTTTCGGATTACGGTGTGAAGGGGATGAGCTGGATCACCATCAAGTTCATCAGGAATCATCCACCGGCGGGTACCAGATTGTAAAACTTTTGTGTTTTTTTGTTTTTTTACGTCGCCGGTGTGTTTGTTTCAATAAAAGTCTTTCGCTTTCATTTTCATATATGGTGTGTGTGAGAGAGAGCGGAACTGTAAAAATAGGACAAATTGATCGGAGGAAAACAATAACACGAGATAAGGATTTAATAACGTGGTGTAGATCTTTAACAAGTCGGGACTAATTCACGGGAAAGTAAGAACCTCTCCGGCCGGTTACTGATGTTGTTTGTTTTTTTAGTATCACAAGCGGCCCAGCACTACAAAAAAAAGAGGCATTGTGCCAAGGGTTATTTTCATGCCGTATCGAGGGTTTTAACCCCCTTGCTATACAAGCTATAACGAAGGTTCTACCAACCCTTGGACGTACCGTTGGCAAAGCTGCTCTTGCTATGTGTAGCAAGGGGTTTTAAGCGACCCTTAGTGGAAGTACCCTGCAAAGGTTATAAACAAGGGTTGAAACCCTTGCTACTACACGTCTTTGTAAAATTCCGCGAAGAGATTTATGTAAGAAGGGGTACCACCCTTTGCTAAACTCATTTCTACAACTAGTGTCGAGCAGAGCCGTCACTAAAGTTTGGTCACTATAAACCCCTTGCATACTTTGTGACCAAACTAGAACATTTTGCGACAAACCATTCGTCACTAAAAAGTTTGTTACTAATAGTAGCATTAGTTATGGTTGCGTTACCCTTGTCACGGTAGACAAATTCATATTATACAACATACACACCAATAGTTATGTCATTCATACCCTGAATCATAACATGAAATCTTCCATCATCCAAAATATTGTTGTTTTACATGGCTAAATGCTAAACACCATAAACATTCAAGTATATAATGCAAAGAAACACAGTATGCTCATAATATTCCAATCACTAAAAAGAATACGATTCAAAGCAGTATGAGTAGATCGCGATCCCAAATCCTTCAAATAAGAGCTTCACGACATCATCTCACGAAACCTTCAAAAAAGCAATGTGAAGGATGGAAATGATGAATATAACATAAGAGAAGGAATAACAATGCTACTTCAGCTAGTAAGAATATCCCTGATGTGATTGGTTCATGTTGTGCATAATGTATCAAGTGTATGGTAGGTGGCTTCAATTGCATACATGGAGTCGTAGTTGTTGTCTCGAATTGTCATTTTCATGCAGTCGGCCTGTATGCGCAAACATGAGAGAACAACATTAAGATTCTTGGTCACAAATATTGTTTATATATAAAGAGGGTAGGTTACGAAGGAAACAATAACATAATTTAACAAAATCACATGTCTTGCTTTTGTCCACTCATGCAATAAGATTTAATTTCTAAGTGGCAGAAGCAACAGATTAATTCCCACTTATTAAGATAAACCAAGGTATAATCTACTTCTCTAAATACTATTGAAAGCAAGAAATAATTAACTAGGAAAAAAGACAGAGGAGACAGTACCTGATTGTTTTCAGCATCCTCCATCCATTTTTGTCCAGAAAATTTCTTACCGACGAACCTCACCTGCCTGCCCCCTTTGCCATCACTAATTAAAATAAGTCCAATTGAGTCCTATTTTGCCCAATATTTTCATCCAAACGCTAAACACAAGCTCTAATTTCTGTTATAACTTTCCCTATGATCGTCCATTCCCTCTTCTTCGTAGTCGAGTATTGTATTTTTAAGAACTCAAGTATTCTTTTGAGAAATTATTATTTTTATTTAAATTTTCTGAAAAAATAATACCACTAAGTAAAATTCCCGGATCTGTCACTACTTGTTAGTGGCCTCTCGTTGTTAAACTTAAATGATAACTTCACGGGTTCATAAATTCATTACATGAATGATTACTGATGTTTGGGTTCATCTTTTAATAACTTTGCCTACATGCTATGGAATATACAACAGATAAAGAGAGGACATAATTTTGGGCTTTTGGCTTTCGCAGTTCCAGGAAATCCCAATGGTTAAAAGCTTCTGTACACCTACAACTGCATTCTCAACAGAAATTAGGAATCAAATAACTTCCTACGGGTATATTTCAACGTAACTGAGCTTTGCACCCAGCATATTTACAGAGTCCCACCCTTCAGCAGTAACTTCTCTGACTTCCATGCTTAATTAATTGCTGGAGGCTGTATCTTGAATTATGTACAAAGCATGAATTTTATTTGCTTCCAGACAACTCACACGAACCAATTCATCGTATCAACCACCCATTCTGTTCGATGGTCTCGAATAAGGACTGCAACACTCTTCACCGGGTTTCTGTGGAGATGCTAATAAATTCACCTGCATAAACCAACCGTATACTTCATCTCACTGAGGACGGCAAAGGGGAAGAGATATACCCTGAAAGAACAATCAACCAAGAGCATTCGACTGTAGCAAACGCAAGTCAAATGTTGCATTACCTTGACGATCTCAGACCTGGAGCTTGGTCTCATGTAGGCAGCCAAGATGCTCATGTTGAAATCCTGCATTAACCCATCATCATTTCGCTAATCTCGTCAGTTTAAAAACAGGAACCAGTTAAAGTTGGAGTCTAATGGTGCAGCAAATGACCATCCCACTCTAACAGAATCCGGAAACTACATAATTTCATGATTTATCGCAATGCAATCAAACGCAGAAAGTTCCAAATAGGTGGTAAGACTATATAGAACTTACTCTGAAAGGATCACCCCTCAAGGATTGCACATACATGGAAGACCCTAGGCCTTTTCCCTGCATAATGAGCTTTAGTGAATCAGCATGACAAATGAAAAAAGAAAACAAAATGCTTCTTAATATTTATGAAATCCTATTTAACAAGGTTCAATTAAGAAGGTTGGCGCCTCCAGCACATTGATGAAAATATTTAACAGTCCTGGTCTAGCTTCAAGTTTGCGAAAAGCAAATAACAGAGTACAACATTCATCGCAAGTTAGAAACATCTCCGAGACGATTTCCAAATCAATTCTGGATGGCATATGAAGTAACCAAAACCCACAGCAAAACAAAATTGTTCATCATAACTCTTCAAGGGTTCCAAAAGAAGTAATGTTTAAATGGACAACTGGAGTACCTCCAAGGAAATATCTCTTAGACGCCTCCCAGTTTGAGCACAGCAAACACGGACCACTTGCTCATCACAACTCCCACTTATAATGTAATCCCTACCATTCATGTAGTAGGATCTAGTGTAATTCTGTGCACTCCCAGTATGCGGTATTTCAAAACTCATGTGAAGCCTTCCATCAACAGCCAAAAGTTGTCGAACCTGGCAAGAGACACATGTAGTATGTAGTCTTGCATGTTAATCTCAAGGGAAACGCATCTTACAAGTTCAAGTTGGAACATGCATATTTAGACTACCAGCCCATCAG